TTGCACTCACATCCAGAGGCCGTAGGAGTTGCACTTACATGCAGAGGCCGTAGGAGTTGCACTCACATCCAGAGGCCGTAGGAGTTGCACTCACATGCAGAGGCCGTAGGAGTTGCACTCACATCCAGAGGCCGTAGGAGTTGCACTCACATCCAGAGGCCGTAGGAGTTGCACTCACATCCAGAGGCCGTAGGAGTTGCACTCACATCCAGAGGCCGTAGGAGTTGCACTCACATCCAGAGGCCGTAGGAGTTGCACTCACATGCAGAGGCCGTAGGAGTTGCACTCACATCCAGAGGCCGTAGGAGTTGCACTCACATGCAGAGGCCGTAGGAGTTGCACTCACATCCAGAGGCCGTAGGAGTTGCACTCACATGCAGAGGCCGTAGGAGTTGCACTCACATCCAGAGGCCGTAGGAGTTGCACTCACATCCAGAGGCCGTAGGAGTTGCACTCACATCCAGAGGCCGTAGGAGTTGCACTCACATCCAGAGGCCGTAGGAGTTGCCCTCACATCCAGAGGCCGTAGGAGTTGCACTCACATCCAGAGGCCGTAGGAGTTGCACTCACATCCAGAGGCCGTAGGAGTTGCACTCACATCCAGAGGCCGTAGGAGTTGCACTCACATCCAGAGGCCGTAGGAGTTGCACTCACATCCAGAGGCCGTAGGAGTTGCACTCACATCCAGAGGCCGTAGGAGTTGCACTCACATCCAGAGGCCGTAGGAGTTGCACTCACATCCAGAGGCCGTAGGAGTTGCACTCACATCCAGAGGCCGTAGGAGTTGCACTCACATCCAGAGGCCGTAGGAGTTGCACTCACATCCAGAGGCCGTAGGAGTTGCACTCACATCCAGAGGCCGTAGGAGTTGCACTCACATGCAGAGGTCGTAGGAGTTGCACTCACATCCAGAGGTCGTAGGAGTTGCACTCACATCCAGAGGTCGTAGGAGTTGCACTCACATCCAGAGGTCGTAGGAGTTGCACTCACATCCAGAGGTCGTAGGAGTTGCACTCACATCCAGAGGTCGTAGGAGTTGCACTCACATCCAGAGGTCGTAGGAGTTGCACTCACATTCAGAGGTCGTAGGAGTTGCACTCACATTCAGAGGGCGTAGGAGTTCCGTTCGCAACAATCGTCGATAGAAACATCAGAGACAAGTCGGCAAACCTGCTGCTGATGCACTCACATTCAGAGAAGGTGTCGGTGCGGCCTCTGTCAAGAGCGTCGGTGATAGATCGAGAGAGAGCGAAGAGGCAAGAGTGAGGAAGCTCAAAGAAAAACGAGAAGGGCAGCGAGATAGATCGAGAGAGGGAGAGAGTGAGGAGGCAAGGGTAAGGAAGCTCAATTGGTTTTGTTGTTGCCGGCAGCTGATTGTTGTCGCGCGTCCACTGCAGGCCACCGCTGCACCGCCTTCACCGCCTGCCCGTGCACTGAGTCAGCCATGCGCCCTAGTCATCCTCCTCACTCCAGGCGCCTCCTCGCCGCGCTCCAAGCGCCTCCTCGCCTCGCTCCATCCGCTTGCATTGCAGCGTCACCCTCGCCCTCGCAAGCGGGTGGTCAGCAGGGCGGGAAGGGCCGGCCGTGCGTCATCCCACCACGCTCGCCCTCCCCTTGCATGCGCGCTGCCCTTCCAAAGAGCCAAGAGAGGACCCTCGGCAGTCGCTGTTGCCGTCCTCTGCAGGCGCCTCTGCTCCTCCCGAGTGAAGAACCCATGGTTGCTGAAAGACAGGAGGAGGGAACACACAGGCAGATGCACGAAGTCAGTGAACAGAACTGCAGAATGAAAAATAAAGCAAAACAAACACAAGGAAACGAGATGCGGAATTGAAAGCGAAAAAACGATGTGTGAAATTGAGAGCGGAGAACAACACGTGGAAACGAGGTGGTGGGATGGATGCACGTCCATGATACGCCGGCTGCAGCTAGCAGAGGGAGGAGCTATGCTATCCAAAACCCAAACTCTATGCTACCCAACCCAAAATCTATGCTACCCAAACCCGCGGAGGACGTCTACTAGGCTGCAGCCGAACGTATCAGAGGGACGTGCATAAACGCGAAATGCAGGACGATGGAGTGAAGAATGCGGTGCGGAAAACACGGAATGACGAAACGGAACGAATGGAGGGTGGCGAGAAGGGAAGGCGAGGGGAAAGACACTTCCCAGTTGCTTTGCTGCCTTGCCGCTGTTCACCACGCCAGCCGCACGCCTTCACCACTCTTCACCGCGCCAGCCGCACGCCTTCACCGCTCTTCACCGCGCCAGCCGCAAGCCTTCACCGCTCTTCACCGCGCCAGCCGCACGCCTTCACCGCTGTTCACCGCGCCAGCCGCACGCCTTCACCGCTGTTCACCGCGCCAGCCGCAAGCCTTCACCGTTGTTTACCGCGCCAGCCGCACGCCTTCGCCGCTGTTCACCGCGCCAGCCACGGGACGTCGCCAGCATCCGCACAACGTCGCATGCGGAAGGTAGCACGCGTCGCCATCATCCGCACACAGTCGCGCGTGGTAAATCGCACGGCCTCGCACGTAATTTGTCGCCATCTTCCGCACACGGAAGCGCGCGGTAAGTCGCATGCCGTTCGTCGCACATCGTCGCATGCATCCGCACAGCGCGCCGGCACGCGGAACTTCGCACGCAGTAAGTCGCCATCATCTGCACACGGTCGCACGGCGGGGAACGTCGCAAGCGGTACGTCGCATGCCGCGCATCGTCGCGCCATGTCGCCCAGCATCCGCACGGCGCCGCATGCGGAACGTCGCACGCGTTAAGTCGCCATCTTCCGCACATCTTACGCGGTTGGCCGCCGTCTTCCGCACACGGTCAAACGCGTGAAGTCGTAATTGTCCACACACCGTCGCACAGGGAACGTCGCACGCGGTTTAGGGAACGTCGACGAAGTTCGTCGCCATCTTCCACACATCGTCGCTAGCCGTTCGCTTTGCTGCTCGCCGTTCGACATTCGCTAGTCGCTATTATTTCTCGTCCGCACGTCTTTCGCCGCTCGTCAGGTTGCACCCCGTTGCTCGGAGTAGTTAATCCATTAGTTTCCGCCGTGTGTCACTGTGTCGCCGTGAGTCACCGTGACGCCGGATGCCGGTTGCCTTGAGAATGCTTCCGTCGACCCGAAGGTGCTTCTCTTGTTGCTGGTGATGATGCTCGTAGATCATTACGGACGCCGGATGCCGGTCGCCTTGATACTTGAGATTCACTCGCCATTCTGACCATTACGGCGCCATTCTGACGTGAAAACCGTCAACCCTGTTGGAAACTGCCGTAATAACACTCCGTGCTTCCGGTGCTGCCTGAAGATGCTAGCAGAAGCGGCTCGTATGTCATTCCTGACACGGTGCTGCTTCGCGTATCATAATGCCTTGACTCAACGTTAGGCGATCGGCGACTAGCAGCCGTCGGCGAGTAGTTGGATGTACGACTATATCGGAACGACGCTTAAACGAAACGGAAGCGACATACGCTTCAGCTAGAGCACTGGAAACCTTATCAGGAAACACCCGTCACGGACCATGTTGCTGAGCTGAAAACGATTGGTTGATAATCAGTTTATCAGTATCTCAGAAACTTTACGTGGAAGTGTTCGCGGAATCTGAAACGGTGGAATTAACCTAGCGGTTACGAATAATAACTACCGCGGTTAGAAGCTAAGAGGCGAGCAGTTAACATGATCAGCCTAACAGAAGCTATACGCTGACACGGCTCTACCAGTTCTCCCACTGAAAAAGGCTTATATGCCGATGAGCTATCATAAATCTTCTTAAGATTACAATCGTAGTAACCTACATCTCTGAGAGATTTTGACAGCAGCCATGGCGAGATGAGGAAGCCATGGAAACAAGCACGAGCTAACGCTGACTGGAGAGCATCAGTGACATGAATGAACTGGAGAATTCGGCAGAGGTGACTGGAAGGGCCTTGGGAATGTCGCCGCTGGGTTGACTCTGTCTCCAGGAGGCTGCATGCAATGCTAGACGGAGGCGACGACAGGTGACAGGGAGTCGCCAAAACAGAGGCTTCCGCTGGTCTCCGCCCGCCGCACAAGTCGCCGCAAAGCTTTTGCGAGCGATTGACAAAAGCGTAACTCGAGGGTATTGGGGTCAGACGACTTTCGCCACCGGAATGGGAGTCCAAAGTAACCGAAAGCTGCGCTGGGCCGGACGAAGCGCGGCTTTTTGAAAATTCTAGGCGGGAGACTTCTGCAGCAGGCGCGCCAGAAATGGTTCCGCCGCAATGCGGAATTGGAACATCTCCGCAAGTGATTATTTCCCCAAGTTATCCTTATCCTTCTACAGTAAAGTATCATCACGCACACGCCATCTACAGTGTAGACTCCTTTCAGCAAAATAAATTAATATTTCTACAAGTGAGACTGGAACAAGATGTAACATCATTATCTGTGTTTGCAGCGAGAGTGGCATCTCAAGGGCGCAAGACACGCCCTACCTTGATGTGACCATTCTCATCATTTGTTGGTTCTAATGTTCATGAGCACCACATTTCACAGCCACCTATCCGGCCGGGCACAACCAGGCCAAACATTCGTGTAGCAGTTGACATACTTGTCAACCGCTGTATCACCCCGACCCTGCACCCTGCACCCCGCACCCCGCACCCCGCACCCCCGACCCTGCGCCCTGCACCCTGCACCCTGCCCCCAGCACAGCACAACACAGCACATGCCACGAGCGGCACAAGGTGTGCCTCCCAGCAGCACAGCTTGCAGCTGACAACCAGCCCACTGTGACCCCCATGGCCACCAGTGCACCCACCATCACCACCACCACCACCAGGAGTGCAGACACCGCCTTGTTGAGTGCCCCTGGCGGCACATAAGAGCCTTCCACTTGCTCCACCTCAACGCACCCATCTGCGATCCCCACGGGCCGCAGTGCAACCAGCATCACCCCTCACCCTCAGCGCCAGCAGTGTGCAACCAGCATCACCCCTCACCCTCAGCGCCAGCAGTGTGCAACCAGCATGGCGGTCAGAGCCAGGGCCAGCAGGGCAGGGAGCAGAGCAGCGAGGAGAGCGAGTGCAGGTGGCGCGAGCGGTACGCGCGGTACAGCATGAGCGGCGTGCGCGGGGGCAATGGGGGAGGTGCACGCTGCCAGCGCTGGGAGGTGGGGTCGCGCGTGAAGACGCGGGGAGCTCCGCTGGGAAAGAGCGTGTCGGTGTCTGGTGACTGGGCTAGCAGGCGGTAGCAGCTGCAGGGATGGGTGGGGGAAGAGGCAGAACGGGAGGGGGAGGAGGGAAGGCATAACAGGAGGGGGGTGGGGAGGGTGAGGAGCAGCGGGAGAGGGGTGGGAATGGGTGATGTGAAGGAGGTGAAGGAATGGCACTGAGCAGACATGTTTACTCGCTGCAATGACATGCCCTAGTGTGTGCATGGCATGCGCATCACCATGGCATGGCATGCGTGCAACAGCAAGCCTTCACGTGGGGATAGAGGGAGGGATGAGCAACAAGCAGCCCTCACCTGCGGATGAAGGGCAGGAAGTCGGGTCCCTCAGCCAGTGGCGACGTGGAGTTGGCGTGCAGCAGCTCGTGATCCGTCATGCTCAGCCGCTGCCGCGCCAGTGCTGCCGCGTCCATCAGCCTGAAAAGACGGGGACGGGGGAAAAGGAAGGAGTGCAAAGGGGTGGTGGGGCGAGTTGGCGTGCAGCAGCTCGTGGTCCGTCATGCTCAGGCGCTGGCGCACTAGCGCTGTTGCATCCATGAGCCTGATGGGGAAAGGGGAGAAGGGGAGACGGGGGGGAAGAGGGGAAGGCGAGAAGGATGGAGAGATGAGATGCTTGCCTGGCATGCAAAGAATCAAGGGAGATGAGCTGCTGAGCTGACATGCAACATGCTGCAGCAGGAGGCAAGGCAGTAGGATGAAACAGAGTGTCAGGTTGCCTGTACCTGGTGGGCGGCAGCACGAATCTGTCAATTTGAGTGTCGTAGAAGCGGGTAAGGCGGCCCTGGGGACAGAGTGGACCGCACAGAGCGGTGCAGAGCGGTGCCAGCGCGGCGGGTGGGAGGGTGGAGAGCAGAGTAGGGGAGGATGCGAGCGGCGGTAGGGAGGGAGACGGCCAAGAGGAAAGGAGAGGGGAGAACGAGGAGGAGGAAAGGAGTGGGGAAGGGGAGGAGGAGGAGAGAGAGGAGGGAATGAGAGGGGAGGAGGAGGGAGTGCTGTGTGCGTGTGTGCTGCCAGTATCGCCGCTAGCCGGAGTGCCACCACCAGTGCGTGCAGCAGCATCAACAGGCCGCCCTTTCTCAGGCGTACACACACTGCCCTCACAGCGCCCCTCCCGCCCCTCCCCCTCTCCCCCCTCGCGCCCCTCCGCCACCAACCGCTCCTCCTCCCCCGACCCCCCTCCCCACCACCCACCCGCCTCACCTTCCGCTTCCCCCTTCCCCTCCTCCGCCTCGCCCCCTTCCCCAAAGAAGAGCAGCACGGAGCGCAGCACAGCATCAGGCCCGCGCTCTTCTGGGGTGAATACGCGCGGGGAGGCTTCCCCAGACGCCACGTGGACCGCCAGTCCGCGCGTGCGGGGCACAGGGGCGCGGCGGGAGGGGTCCCACGTGGTATTGAGGGGGAGGAGCGCGAGCGTGCAGAGGCGGAAGGGGCGCGGGAGCGCGTGCAGCGCCGTCACCAGCGCGCAGGCTAATGGGAGTGACGTGCCCGCGGGGAGAGGAGGGGCGAAGGGGGCGTTGTCCGCGCGGGAAAGGCTGTAGTACAGGCTGTTCGGGGTGGCGGTGGGAAGCGGAGGAAGCAGAGACGACGGCGGAAGGTGCAGTGGAGGGGAGGAGAGGTGCAGTGGCGTGTGGTGGTGGTGTGGGGTGCCATCCAGGTGCAAGGCATGCATGGGTGCAGTGCCTTGGCATGGCGATGCTGTTGCTGCAGGGCTTGATGGGTTGCCGTGTGACCAGGCGCTGCCATGTGCACCTCCCTCTCCTGCTCCTGCTTCTACTTCCGCTCCTCGCCCTGCGCGCATGCCCCTGTCGCCACTGGCTGCAGGGCTAAGGGCTCGCCTGCGCTTGCACCCTGACTGCCGCCCGCTGCTGCTCCCTCCCTGGTAACCCTGCTGCTGCTCTTGGGATTCCTCATGCCGCACGCGCTCCTGCTCCTGCCTCTCCTGCTCCTTCTCCCACGCGGCGTGGATGCTCTCTGTGTGCCCCGGGTCGTCGTCAAACGCGCCCACCACGTGCACCTGAGGGGGGGGGGCACGGGGGGTACAGAGAGGCACGGCCGGATGGGCAGAGGGGGGCAGGACGGGGAGAGGAGATGAGAGGCAGGGAGAAGCGGGGATAGGAAATGAGAGGCAGGGAGAAGCGGGGAGAGGAAATGAGAGGCAGGGAGAAGCGGGGATAGGCCGGCAGGGAGGAGAGGGAGAGAGGGGATGCAGTGCAGAGGCATGGCAGTGGATCGCGAACGAGCGAGGGTAAAGCGCGGCAGAGGGAAGCAACGAGCAACGAGGAATGGCTTTGCACGCGCGCACGCATGCCAGTCCCCACAGGGGAGCATGCGATGGGAGCATGCCAGTCCCCACAGGGGAGCATGCGCCTGCGGCACCATGCCATGCCTGCAGCGCCACACCCACATGCGCGTCATACCTGCAGGGGAGTCGGATCGTGCGGGGCGAGGCGCAGCGAGGCGAGCATGGTGGCGAGCGCGCGCACTGCGCAGAGCGACGCGTCCACGTGCGCCAGAGCCGTGCGCCCCGTGCGCGGATGGCGCAGCGCCACCGCCACACACGTCGTCATCTCGTCCGTGCCTATGACGTCAACCAGGTCCACGTCAGCAGTTGCCACCTCAGCTTGCGCCACGTACACCAGCCGCTCCGGCCGTCCCTGCTGCGCCTCACCCCCGTCCGCCTTCCTTGCGCCCTCTTTCCCGCAATCTCCCGCCCCACCGCCCCCCTCTAGTTGCGCGCGCGCCCCTTCCCCCGGTCCAAGCTTGCGCGCTCCGTCCCCATCTCCGTGCCACTTTAGCCGATCGAACAAGCCGCATTCCGCATTCCGTGCCGCTTCCTCCGCTGGTGCTGCCGCTACTGCTTCTCCTGCCGCCCCTGCCGCGCATTCTTCGCCTGCACGAGTGGAGGCACGCGGAGGCGTGGCCGTCTCCAGCGGCAGCGCGGCATTGCGCTCACCGTCAGCAGTGCTACCAGCAGCACCGTTACCAGCAGCCCCGCTACCAACAGTATATCCACCAGTTATCCCCGCTGCAGCATCACGCGCTTTAAGCACACTCGCACTCAAACTGCGCCAAATCGCGCGGGGAAGCGCATCACTGCCAGCATCACACGTGTCAGCAGTAGATTCCTCGCCACGTGGAGCGCCGAGAGAGCGGCTCCCCGCGCCGCCCAGCAGGTCCCGCTGCCGGCGCATCCACTCGCCCCCTCCGCCCTCCCGCCCTCGGCACACCGAGATCCCGCTACCGTTAACGCCGCCGTTACACGCGGCGCCGTCACGGCCACCTGCGTTCCGCAGGTTCCCCACTTCCCCCTCACCTGCGCCTCCTTGCGCCTCCGCGCATCTCAGCTTTTCCGCTGCACGCGCGGCAGCCAAACTGGGGGAGCGTGATCCCCCAGGGTTTGCGCCAAGATGCGCGGAAGGAGTGGTGGGGGAGGGAAGAGTTGCCGGTGGGGTGCTGAGGGTTGACTGTGATGCCGTCTGGCCGGCAGCATGACTGTCGGACAAACGATCGTCGCTACCGCATGCCGGCCGCGCAAGATTCTCGAATTCATCGTGCTTAGCACGGAATGGACCAGGGACAGGACCGGCTTCCGAGCCTGAGCGGCCGGTTCGGTGAAAGAACTCATCCGAGCCAGCGACGAGGCTCGGATGCGTGAGGAGGTAACGGAGCAGCGCCGTGCCCTGCGCGGTGCGGAAAAAAAGGGGGTGAGAAGGGGAGGTGTGGGAAGTGGGGGGAGGGAGGGAGAGAGAGGGGGAGAGAAGGGGAAGGAGGGGATTGGGTGGTTTTGCATTGGTATTGAAGGGAGGAGACGAGGGACACGGGAGAAGTGATGCAGACGTGGTGAGTAGTGGACGATTGCTGACGACTGAACGAACGGGATGAGCCGTGCAGCGGAACGTGACAAGACGGGAGTAAAGCGCGCGTTCGACAGACAAGCGTGGGACTAGAGCGGCGAGAGCGAAATACAAGAAAAGAAACGGAAGCAGGTTTAGGTGTCGACGCCATCTCAGTTTCTTCGACGCGCTCCCGTACGGGTCAAGCGCACGTACCGCGAGATTGCGCGGAACCGGCTGGTTGTCTATAATCAGCATCGCGGCGCCTCGTGTGAGTCCGTGAAGCCGAGCTGGGTACTATGTGCGCGACTCGCACGCACTTAAGCTCTTCGCTACGGTCCTATGGCGTCACGACGGTGGTGCACACTCAAAACTTGTGGGAGACGCAAGAGCTTAAAGCGTATTCTATCCACTACCGAACCATGCTGCTCCTTCGGACGCTACGGCAACAGCGAGGGATAGAGCTAGACTATGATTGCACGATGCATCTGCGCAAGGAAACTCGATTTTATGAATGCGGAAGACAGTAGACATTGGAGCCAGTTGCACCACAGATGACAAGGCCTGGAAAGCAACCGTCCGTCAGACCAACACAGTGGCGTGAGGAAAGGAAACCATGGAAACAATCATTTGGCTGTGGCGGTGGGGAGGATGGGAGGCAGGGAGAGGAAAGCGTAGACGGTAAGTTTGCAAAGAGGGGTTTTCTGAGCGGTGCAACGTGGTAAGTGTGAGGGGTGCAAGAGGGGAGAAGCTGGTGGGGGTGGGGCTGGCTGGGCGACGAGAATCGGGTTTGAGGAAGAGGGGGATTTGCCGTGTGATTGGCGGGCGACAGCGCATCGAGTCAATGTGGTTTCGGTTTCTCGCAGGTAGGACCGAACGAAGGGTACTGCTGCTGGCGGTACGGGGAAGGGGAGGGGCGATTTGGACACCAGCAAGCTGCAGGCGACTGCTGCGATTCGCTCGCTGTGTATGAACAGTAATCACCTGTGAACTTGTCGCGGAAGCCAGGGTGAACGACGCGACAGAAATCGCACGGAGTCGTAGAGTGGAAGTGGGGACGGTCGCACTTGCAACTTGCGACAGTGCGAATTGTACGCGATTTCGGTGTTGTGTTGGCAAACCTGGCTGGCTCTTCACCTGCGCCCTCACTACGACTCTATTCGTCATTGTCACAGCGCGAATAGGTCAGCCAATAGAAAATGAAGCATTCGGTACGAGCGCTGTGACATTCGGCCGACGTGCAAAGGACCACTCAAAATTCGTCGACACCTGTTATAATGGCGAAAGGCACCACAGTCACTCCTGGCGACTGAGAGTCCTATTATTATTCACCTGTTTACAGTAGAACAAGTCGAGCCACATATAATGTACAAGCAAATCAAATTATCAGATAAAGGATATAACTGGTAATTTTAAATAACGAACATTTTTACATCATTTTTCGCAAAGTCTCTGGAAATTTTTACTGCCTGTATATCAGTGGTCTTAAACCGTAGTATTTCATTATCTCACTTTCAAAAGCTCGATGTTGAGGAGGTGTGTCCTACATCGGAGCTGTCCCATAGCGAGGGTACATCCTGATTTCACCTTGCATGAATGCGAACGAATCACTAGGGAGGCATTGAAGGGCTCCCTGACACGGCATGCGATGTTCGTGAATGCGAACAGATTCTTGTGTGGCGTGACACAGACATCCCTCCCTGCAACCGTTCTTGTGAAGAGGCAAGTGCGGTGTGCAAGGCCAGCAGCACTTGCCATTCTCACCCTCATTTCCTCACCTTTCTTGCAGAAGCAGAGCAATATTAGATTATCTACGATTTCTTGTCGTTACAGCAGTCGTTTACTCATCGTCCATGGGGCCTAAGAAGGGGAAACGAGGCGGGGGCGCAGGCGGAAGTGGCGGGGAAGGGCAAGCTGGCGCGCCGAGGTAACTGCTCTCTGGCAGCGCCTATTCCAGCTCTCTTCACTGCAATAAGTTCGGGTCGCGGTCGTTGCACTATACGTTGTCCGTCTGTGTAAATGCTACGAATGAAATACTAATATACACGTTATTGTGGGTCTCTCCGGCCTTTTTCTCCCTTCGCGCTCGCTTCGCTGCGTGCAGCGCAGCACCACCAGCGTCAGCGGCGCCCGGGGGGGGCAGAGGCGCGCCTAGTCCCGCGGGAGCAGGAGGTCGGGGAGGAAGGGGCGCGCCGCCAGGGGGAAGAGGTGGGCCCGTTCCCGCAGGAGCACCAGGGGGAGCGGGAGCCCCTGGCGCAGGCGGAGGGCGTGGGCGCGGGGGGCGCGGGCGGGGAGGACGCGGAGAGCAGGCGCAAGGAGCGGGGGGTGTTGGGGGCATCACCGCAGGCATGGCGCAGATGGGTGTGTCCGCGCCACCCGCGGATTTCCCCGCCCTCGCACCTGCGCGCGCCCCCGCCCCCGCACCCGCGCGTGGCCCTGCTCCTACCCCCGCACCCGTTGCCCCTACTCCCGCGCCTATGCCCGCTGCTGCTCCGCGCGCGCCGGCACCTGCTGCGTTTGCGCCTGCCCCCGTACCGGCCGCGCCCGCGCCCGTAGCGGGTGCGCCGGCGGCGGGCGTGGCGGTGACGATGGCGGGCCCCGCGGGCGTGTCGAGCAGGGCGCTGGTGGCGGCCGCGCGGCCCGATTTCGGCAAGCTGGGGCGGCCCGTGATGCTGCTGGCGAACCACTTCAAAATCGACTTCCAGGTGCGCGCATGGGGGATGGGGTAAGGGGAAAAGAAGAGGGGGGGAAGGCGGGAGGAGGAGAGGGGCGCCCCGTGACGCTGCTGGCGAACCACCTCAAAATCGACTTCCAGGTGCGCGCGCGCACGCACGGGGGGGGCGGGGGCAAGAAGGGGCGCGAGGGGGGAGGGGCGGGGAGTGGGAGAGAGCGTGAAGGTAATGGGGATGTAATGAGGGGGTGCGAGTTGTGCTTGACCGGCGTTCTTCGCGCCCCACCTCGCCTCCTTCCCTGCATGCGTCCCGTCCCGTCTTTCTCTCCTCTCTTTCCCTCCCCCTCGCATCCTTTTTGAGACGTCTCAAAAGACTTCTTAAAACTCGTCCCGTCTTTCTCTCCTCTCTTTCCCTCCCCCTCGCATCCTTTTGCTCGAATTTCCGCCCTGGTTCTGCCCATATGGCCACACGCCCCTTCCGATTTCAACGTTGTTAACTGCAAAACGCTCGCTGCAGGTCCAGCCTCTCCCCGCCAGGACTTGGTGGTCTACCACTACGATACGATGTGGAATTCTTCCCCGCCTTCGCCTCCAAGGGCGTCATGCGCACTCCCCCATGAAACCCACTCCCCCACACATTCCCCTCCCGCCCCTCCCGTCCGCTCCCCACCCCTCCTGTCCCCCCTCAGGATCTAGTCATATACCACTACGATGTCGAATTCTCCCCCGCTTTGGCCTCCAAGGGCGTCACTTGATGCACCCCGGAACCTGCTGCTCCACACGCCCCCCCTCTCCCTCCCCTTCCTCCCCTGCCGTTCCTTTCTTCCCCTTCTCCCCAGGACCTGGTCATCCATCATTACGACGTGGACTTCTCCCCCGCACTGCCCTCCAAGGGCCTCATGCGCACCACAAAACCCGCTGCTCCACACGCCCCTTCCCTCCCATTCACCCCCCTCCTTTCCCATTCCCTCCCTCCCCTCCCGCTCCTGTCCCCTCCCCTCCCCTTCCCTGCTTTCTCTCCTCCCCAGGACCTGGTCATCTACCATTACGACGTGGACTTCTCCCCCGCGCTCGCCTCCAAGGGCGTCATGCGCGCAGCCATCCGCCAGCTGGCGGAGACCTACAGCGCGCAGCTCGTCTCCCCCGCCCCTGGGGGCGCCCCCAGCGCCCCCGTGCGCCCCGTCTTCGACGGCATGAAGAACATCTTCACTGCCCGCCCGCTGCCGTTCAACAGCCAGGAGTTTCGTGTGGTGCTGCCCGATAAAGACGAAGGGGCAGGTGGGGGGAGAGGCGGCGGAGGAGGCGGGGGGAGGGGAGGTAGTAGCAGTGGTGCTGGGCGCGGGGGCGGGAGGGGCGGGCGCGGAGGGGGGGAGCGGAGGGAGCGGGCGGTGAAGGTGACGGTGAAGCTAGCTCAGCAGTACCCCATGTCGTCCATGGCTTCTTTTCTGCAGGGGCGGCAGGCCGACATTCCGCAAGTGCTGCTGCAGGTGTGTTTTGAGTCGACTACGTGATGGTGATGGTGAGGGTGAGGGTGAGGGTGAGGGTGAAGGTGAGGGTGAAGCTAGCTCAGCAATACCCCATGTCGTCCATGGCTTCTTTTCTGCACGGTCGCCCAGGCTGACATTTCGCAATTGCTGCTGCAGGTGCGCTTTGAATTGACCCAAAAGGTGTGGTTTGAGTTGACCCAAAAGGTGTGGTTTGAGTTGACCCAAAAGGTGTGGTTTGAGTTGACCCAAAAGGTGTGGTTTGAGGTGACCCAAAACACACATGAGAATGAAGGTGACTGTGAAGCTGGCGGCGCAGTACCCCATGTTGTCCATGGCCTCGTTCCTCCAAGGGCGCCAGGCCGACATCCCCCAAGTGCGTTGCTGCTCTGATGCTGCTGCTGCTGCCAATTCGCATCAATTCTTTTCCCCCTTGACCCTGTCCCTGTCCCCATCACCTCTTGGGCCGGCCTTGCCCCTTTCTCTCCATCCATCACCTCCCTTCCTCCTCTCCCCCTCCCACCCACCCCCAGGCACTCGACGTGGCATTGAGGGAGCGACTCCTCACCAGCCTCACCCCGGTGGGTCGCTCGCTCTACTCCGCCTCTCTCGGCAGCACGGCGCTGGGCGGCGGAGTAACAGCCTACCGCGGCTTCTTCCAGTCGGTGCGCTTCTCCCAGCAGGGCCTGGCGCTCAACGTCGACATGGCTGCCACCGCTTTCCACCACGACATGCCGCTCCTCACCTTTGCCGCTGACTTCCTGGGGCGTGGTGGGGGCGGGGGAGGCGGCGGGAGAGGCGGGGGGAGGGGTGGGTTCGGGGGGAGGGGTGGTCGGGGGCCGGGAGGGGGAGGAGGAGGCGGGTTTGCACCGAATGCGTCGCTGAGCGATGGGGAGAGAGTGAAGCTGAAGCGTGCGCTGCATGGGATCAAAGTGGGGGTCACTCACCGCGACACGCCCCGCCGGTGAGTGCCCCTGCTACGCCTACCGTGTTATTATTCTGGCCCTGTTCCTCACCACCAGAACTGGGAAGGAGCTTCTTCTTCCCAGCCCCACTCCCTCTCCCTCTGTACTTGCCGTCCCCCCCCCCCTTGCCCCCTTCCCCAACCCTTTCCGGTCATACACACTTTCGCTACCGTGTTTCTGTCCCTCCGCTCGTCCGCCCCTCTGCAGCCATCCACCCACCCCTCCACCTTCTCTTCTTCCCCCTTTCCCCATGCAGCTACCGCATCCAGGGTCTCACGCGCGAGCCAGCACACGCTCTCACCTTCACCATAGAAGGGCAAGGGGAGACCTCCCTGGTGGCCTACTTCCGCTCCGCCTATGGTTACACCATCCGCCACCCCAACCTGCCCTGCGTCATGGCGGGCGGCGGGGGGAAGAGCTATCTGCCAATGGAGGTGTGCCACATCATCGGCGGGCAGCGGTACGGGCCGAAGCTGAACGAGGAGCAGGTCAGCTCGCTGCTGCGCTTCACGTGCACGCGGCCAGACGTGAGGGCGGGGGAGATTGGCAGCATGGTCACTCGCAATGACTACCCCAAGTGAGTGGTGGTGCTGTGGGTGGTGAGGTGAGCTAAAGGACTGACAGGGCTGTGCCACGTGGCCAATGTTGTTCTGTGTCTCTGTCCCTCTACCTCGCTTCATTGAATCTTCCCGGCCCTGCCCTCTCTTTTTTCTCCACACACACCACACTCGACTCCTCCCTGCCCCTTTTATGTTCCCTCTCTCTCCTCCGCTCGGCCCCATTCTCCCGTCCTCCCATTCTCCCGTCCTCCCATTCTCCCGTCCTCCCATTCTCCCGTCCTCCCATTCTCCCGTCCTCCCATTCTCCCGTCCTCCCATTCTCCCGTCCTCCCATTCTCCCGTCCTCCCATTCTCCCGTCCTCCCATTCTCCCGTCCTCCCATTCTCCCGTCCTCCCATTCTCCCGTCCTCCCATTCTCCCGTCCTCCCATTCTCCCGTCCTCCCATTCTCCCGTCCTCCCATTCTCCCGTCCTCCCATTCTCCCGTCCTCCCATTCTCCCGTCCTCCCATTCTCCCGTCCTCCCATTCTCCCGTCCTCCCATTCTCCCGTCCTCCCATTCTCCCGTCCTCCCATTCTCCCGTCCTCCCACTCACCCGTGCGAATGGGAGTGTGGCATGGGCACCACCGTCGTCTTCCCTCTGTCTCTGCATCCTCTCTCCCTCCGTCTCTGCATCCTTTCTCCCTCCGTCTCTGCATCCTCTCTCCCTCCGTCTCTGCATCCTCTCTCCCTCCGTCCCTTCCTCCGCTCCACCTACCACTGACCCCTGTGCGCCTGTGTAGAGCATGCATGTGCAGTCAATACACATTGCAGTCACTGTGTCTCCCCTCCCTGCGTCGTGCTGTTCCGCCATCCCCTACTCCCTCTCCCCGTCTTCTCCTCCCCCCTCCCCCCTCCCCCCTCCCCCCTCCCCCCTCCCCCCTCCCCCCTCCCCCCTCCCACCATGCAGCGACCCGTACGCCCGCGAGTTGGGCATGCGGGTGCATGCCAAGATGGCGCTGGTGCATGCCGAGATGGCGCTGGTGCATGCCGAGATGGCGCTGGTGCATGCCGAGATGGCGCTGGTGCATGCCGAGATGGCGCTGGTGCATGCCGAGATGGCGCTGGTGCATGCCGAGATGGCGCTGGTGCATGCCGAGATGGCGCTGGTGCATGCCGAGATGGCGCTGGTGCATGCCGAGATGGCGCACCTGCAGGGCCGCCCTTAGTCACTCTCTCTCTTCCCCTCCCTCCATCGTGCTTCCCCACCCCCCCCCCCGCACCACCCCCCCTCCTCCCACCATGCAGCGACCCCTATGCGCGCGAGTTCGGCATGCGGGTGCACCCCGAGATGACGCGTCTGCAGGGCCGCCTGCTGGACCCGCCCCGCCTCGTGTACAAGGACAAGAAGGACGTGCGTGATCAGGGGGGAAGAGGGGGGAGTTGGGGGGGGGTGGGGGGAACGGGGGGAATAGGAGGTGTGTGTGTGGATGGCCGCCTGCGGGAGCCGCCTCGTCTTGTGTACAAGGATAAGAAGGACGTGCGTGGGCTGAAGGGGAGGGTGGATGGGAATGGGGGGGTGTGGGTGGGTGGGAGGGTGGGATAAGTGCCAGGGTTCCACCCTGCTCAGTGTATGGTGACAACGCAGGGTTCCACCCTGCTCAGTGTATGGTGACAACAATGATGTGCGTGCTTTGCCCCTTTCTCCCCCATCACTTCCCGTCTCCCCTCCCTCCCCTCTTCCCCTCTCCTGTGCACGAGGTGGCACCGCGCTGTGGAGCGTGGATGCAATATTCTTACCACCCACACCCTCTCTCCCTCCTCCCACCTTGTCCTCCTCCCCTGCCAGGTGGTGCCGCGTTTTGGAGCGTGGAACATGAAGGGCGGGCAGAGGCTGATAGACGGGGAGCGCATAACGCACTGGACCATCATCAACCTCGCGCCCTACTTTGACTGCTGCCGGGGTGCAGTGCTTTCCCCACTTGCACCCTCTCCCCTCCCTCCCCTCTCTCCCGACCCTCCTTCCCCTCCCTCCCCTCCCTTCCTTCCCTCCTTCCCTGCTCCCCACTAACACACCAGGTGGTGCCAAGATTCGGAGCGTGGAACATGATGGGCGGGCAGAGGCTGATAGACGGGGCGCGCATAATGCACTGGACCATCATCAACTTCGCCCCGTACCTCGACGCCATGGGCGTGCAGCGCTTCGGCCAGGCCCTCACGCAGCGCTGTGCTGAGCTGGGCGTGCATGTGAGTCAGCAAGATTCAACAAGAATCAATGCGGGAGTCAAGACGGGAGTCAATGGGAGTCAAGACGGGAGTCATGGGGGGTAGTGGGGCACCGGGGTCAATGGGATTTGACAGCGAGCAACACAATGGGTCCAGTACTGTCACCACAATCCCTCACTTGTCCCTTCCTCATTCTCGCATATCCATCCTGCTTCTCCTTTCCCTCCTTCCCCCCTCATCCCCTTCCCCTCATCCCCACTTCTGTCTTATGTCATCTCGCTTCCCCCTTCTTCCGTTCCTCCTTCTGTCACTGCCTTTTTTCCCACCTTTCTCCCTTCACCCCTGTCTCTCTTCTCCCTCCCCCTCCCCTCCCCCCATCAGATGGAGCCGCTGCACCACTGCCGCCTCTCACGAGCCGCGTGGAGGCGGTGGACGCCCCCTCCTTGCCTCACCACCCCTGCCCTCTTTCCCCCCTCATCCCTCCCCCTCCACCATCAGATGGAGCCGCGTCCAGTGGTGCCGCCCCTGACGGGCCGGGTGGAGTCGGTGGAGGCGGTCATGCGCCAGCTGGCGGACGCTAGCAGCCGAGCGGTGCCGCCCGGGCAGTGGCTGCAGCTGGCGGTGGTGATCCTGCCGGGCCGAGGCACGTTCTACAACGAGATCAAGCTGATCGCTGAGACACAGCTGAATGTGGTCACGCAGTGCTGCCTTGTGAACCACGCCCAGAAGTGAGTGCTTCCTGCACGCGCCCACAACTGCATGTGCCTAACCACTCTGGCACCAGAGTGAGTCAGCGAGAGTGGTGGTGGCATGGCATGGCGGGCCGAGGCATGTTCTGCAACGAGATCAAGCTCATCGCTGAGACGCAGCTTAATGTGGTCACGCAGTGTTGCCTCGTGAACCACGCCCAGAAGTGAGTGAATGTGCTGTGTGTACTACACACAGAGGTCAGTTGAATTGGTGGTGGCATGGCATGGACTGGCATGGCACGGCACGGCATGGCATGGCATGGCATGGCATGGCATGGCATGGCATGGCATGACACGGCACGGCACGGCACGGCACGGCACGGCACGGCACGGCACGGCACGGCACGGCACGGCACGGCACGGCATGGCATGACACGGCACGGCACGGCATGGCATGACACGGCACGGCACGGCATGGCATGACACGGCACGGCACGGCATGGCATGACACGGCACGGCACGGCACGGCATGGCATGACACGGCACGGCACGGCATGGCATGACACGGCACGGCACGGCATGGCATGACACGGCACGGCACGGCATGGCATGACACGGCACGGCACGGCATGGCATGACACGGCACGGCACGGCATGGCATGACACGGCACGGCATGGCATGACACGTTCTACAACGAGGTCAAGCTCATCATTGCTGAGATGACACGCAGCTCAACGCCGCCCGTCACCCAATGCTGCCTTGCCTTGCCAACCACGCTCAGAAGTGAGTGCTGTCTCGCGAACCGTGCATACAAGTGATTGTGCCGAACCACGCACGCGCACCAGTGAGTGAGGGGAACTGGTGGCAGCATGGCACGCTCTACATCGAGGTCAGGTCAAGCCCATCGCTGACACGCACCTCAACGCCGTCCGTCACTCAATGCTGCCTTGCGAGCCTCGCTCACAAGTGAGTGTGCGTTGCTTGGAAGGAGGGAGGCTCTGACTGATACATGTGATGTGATGTGCACCACCAGAGGAATGCTCTCTTGACACAGTGGCAAGGCAAGGCTCTTAACGAGTCTCTCAACATGCCCACAAAGGAGTCAGCAGCTCTTGTGTTGTGTGGCCTCCACCCCCCTAATATCACCACGCACCATTTCCCCCTCCCCGCTTCCCTTTCAGGTGCCAGTCACAGTACCTGGCCAACCAGGTATTGAAAATCAACGTGAAGGTGGGCAGCCGCAGCGTGCTGCTACAGTCCCCATCCTCCCACCCCTTACCACCCTCTCTCTCCACCCTTTCCCCCGCTTCCCCTGTTTCGCCTCTTTCACCCCTTCACCCCCCAGGTGCCAGTCACAGTACCTGGCGAATCTAGTGCTGAAGATCAACGTGAAGCTGGGCGGGCGCAACGTGCTGCTGCAGTCAGAGAGCATCGGCCGCCTGCCCATGGTGGCCGAGCGCCCCACCATTGTGTTCGGCGCTGATGTCACTCACCCCAGCCCGGGGGATGATTCCTCGCCCTCCATCGCCGCTGTCGTCGCCTCCCGGGTGGGTTAGGGGAGGGGGGTGGGACCGTGGGGGAGGGAAATTGTGTGATGAGGGAAAGCGAGGGGGGAGGGAAAGCGAGGGGGGAGGGAAAGCGAGGGGGGAGGGAAAGCGAGGGGGGAGGGAAAGGGGCGGGGGATGGGAAGGGAAGGGGGGGAAGGAAGTGTTGAGTGGTACGAGGAGGCCATGGGGCGCATGGCCCATGGTGGCTCACCCATGCGCGTGTCTGCTATCTTTCAAGGCGCCTCAAAACTCATCGCCACACAACCCCTTCCCCTGACCCTCCCCCACTCCCCTTCAGGACTGGCCGTGTGCGAACCGGTACGGGTGTCTGCTGCGCACGCAGGCGCACCGGCAGGAGATGATAGAGGGGCTGCACGAGGAGCGGCAAGGGGCGGACGGCAGCATGCAGGCGGGCGGGCTGGTGAGGGATCTGCTGATGGAGTTCTACCAGACCGCCAAGCGCAAGCCTGAACGTATCATCTTCTTCCGAGATGGTGTTAGTGAAGGCCAGTTCTACCAGGTAAGTTCAGAGCGGTGCAGTGCGGTGCAATGCAGCCCAGTGCGGTACAGTTGCAGTTTGGTGTGGTGCAGTGCGGTGCTGTGTGGTGGGTGGAAGCAGGCGGGCTGGTGAGGGATCTGCTGATGGAGTTCTACCAGACCGCCAAGCGCAAGCCCGAACGCATTATCTTCTTCCGAGATGGCGTCAGCGAGGGGCAGTTCTACCAGGTGCGCGTGCAGTGCGGTGCTGTCTGATAGACTCTTTACATTTGTCTTGAGTTGACTCGGTGTGTGTGTGCGTGAGCGCCCTGTGATCCAGATACCAGCAATGGATGCATGTGACACATGAACTCTCCGCCTCTCCCCGCCTTCTACTTTCAACTCCAGGTGCTGGCGTACGAGCTGGAGGCAGTAAAAGCCGCGTGCCGGGCCATGGACCCATCGGGCAGCTACAGCCCGCGCATCACCTACATGGTGGTGCAGAAGCGGCACCACACGCGGCTGTTCCCCGCGGACAACAACCGTGACAAGAACGGCAACGTGATGCCGGGCACGGTGGTGGACTCGGTCATCTGCCACCCCAGGGAGTTTGACTTCTTCCTCAACTCCCACGCCTCCATCCAGGTTGGTACCTCTGCCTCTGCCCTCTTGCCTTCCTCACACCCCGTCCCCCCCCCCCCCCCCCTTCCCTTGCGTGCGACTGGTATCGACTTTCTCTCCACTTGTCAGCCGCTCCACCTTTGCCAAAGCGAGCCATTAAGCACCCTTTTCTCAACCCCCTTCTTCCGCATCCTCATTCTGTACCTCCCCACCCAGGGCATATCGCTCCCGACGCACTACCGGGTGCTGTGGGATGAGAACAGCTTCACGGCCAACAGCATGCAGGCCTCAGCACTCTGAATCCCTCTGCCCCCTCTCCGCCTCTCTTTTCCCTCTTATCTCTCCTCCCCTGCCTTTTCCCAATCCCACCCCCCCTTCTCACCCTCCTCCTCCCCTCACCCCAGGGCACGTCGCTCGCGTCCGACGCACAACAGGGTGTTGTGGGACGAGAACAGCTTCACGGCCGATAGCATACAGGCACTCTGCTACTCGCTCTGCCCCCTCGCTTACCTTTCCGTCGAATAAAGTTTCAATCAACCATCTTCCTACCACTACCCCCTACTTTGCCCTCCCCTTCCCCCAGGGCACCTCTCGCCCAACACACTACCGGGTGTTGTGGGACGAGAACGGCTTCACGGCCGACAGCATGCAGGCGCTCTGCTACTCCCTCTGCTACACCTACGCGCGCTGCACGCGCTCCGTCTCCCTCGTGCCGCCCGCCTACTATGCTGACCTGGCGGCCACGCGCGCGCGCCTTTACCTGGAGGGCATCTCGGGCAGCATGCGGGGGAGCGGGTCCGAGAGTGGGTCGGCGGCCGGGCGGGCGGCAGGGGGCGGCGAGGTGGCGGGGTCGGGCGGCACGGGGAGCTCCAGTGGGTCGTCGCGGGTGGGCGGGGCACCACCTGTGGTGCCGCTGCCGGTGGTCATGCCTGTCCCCAGGAAGGGCATGTTCTTCTGCTGACTGCAACCCTGCTCAGGCCTGCTCCTTGCCTGCCCGACTCCTTCCCGAGCCGTGGTCTTTGGCTGGCCACCTCCCTGCCATGTCTGCTGAAGAAAGACGCTGGTCTTCCATGGTGTGCTGCTTGTTGCCTTCACTGGCTGGTGCTCTGTGATGCAGTGTGCGACGCAGGGATGGGATGGAGGCTAGGCTGGGCTAGTCGGGGCCAGCAGTGGCTCGGGTCGGGTTTGTGGCAATATGCTGCCATGAGCATGGCCTTGTACCGTATTACCCCGGACATACCACCCTAGGGTGCTATGATAACTACACAAAAAAAAGGGGGGGGGGTCTTGTCATCGGAAAAAGCTACATCGCACCCGGGTCGTTACATTATGTATATTTTTTTTAGAGCACAAAAGGTTGAGAACAAAATGTACATGTTTGACGCGGTGGTAGATTGTTGGTTGGGTGCGCAAAACCGAGGACTGGGCGATAACGTTAGTCTCGTGGGTTAGCTGCCACATTGCAAGCTCAAACAAGGCCCACAGTCAGGCCCTGATTGGAAAGAAGACACACCCCCCAGGGCTGACGTTTCATTTCGGGCCCCCCTGATTTCGGGAAAACAATTCTCCCTGGATTATGAGGGCACATATTTCGTAGGTTTGCTACTCTGATTGGTCAGTGTCCAACAACGACTTACTCAGAGTTGTCAGGGTTCAGAGCAAGAAATCAGTGTTGCAGCCAATCACGCAAATTTCTCCCATTTCCCTCCCACGCCTCACTTCCCTGGCCGGTCGAAATCAAACAGAACACACAACCAAGCTGGCTGTCGTGATTTTACTGTACTGAAGTCACACAAACTGTTGGGTCAGATCACGGTTCTTCTGAAGTTCGCCTGCCATAAAATCTGGACAAGTGTACGCGAAAGTACACGTCAGTGTGACTTGGCACCACACAGCCACGAATATCGCCCACAATGTGCCACCCAAAGTACAGTGCACGTTCGCCGTCAACCACAGTGTATATTTGCAAAAACTGCAATATTACCCGTACATAACACCCACCCCCCCGGGTGCTATATCAGATCGCCCCAAAAGGGGGGTATAGTAGAAATGAGGCCCGCTATAGCACCCCCCCCGCACAAGCCACCCGGGGGGTGCTCTATTTCGGCGGGTGGTATGTCCGGGGTAATACGGTACATTGGACTCCCACTTGTTTCTTGTACAGTTTAACTACCATATGTTGTGGTGAGGTGGGTGATGGTGCTATATTACCTTGCTGCTACTTCGTGCACTTGTAATGTAAATCGATGCGGTTGCTTAATGATAGTGGATGTTATGTTCGTTGAATCACTTGCCTTGGAGACAGAAATCCATGGGATCATTTGCACCAAGCAATGAGCCCAGGGTTGCTGCGGATTGTGTGCTAGGTAAGCTAACTTTGGTGTAGGGAGAACCTCCTCACATGCTATGCTACCCTGCCAGGCAGGTTGAGTTGTTGCCTGCACACACTGCTAATGAGACATGCAGTGTACAATCATATGCAGTGTATGAAGCTTATGTGCTGCACGGTGCCTATGAAATGCATCAATGTGAATCATTACTACTACTAAACCATATGTGACTTCTCCAATGATGCGAATCCTACGATCATTTGCATGAATCATATACGGTCACAATTGGATTTTGACAATAGTGGGGAATAATTTGAGAAAAAATAGTCAATGTGGTTCATATTCTGCTGTATGACACGTTCATGTATTGAAGGTAATGTGCATGTTTACACTGGCAATATGGATCATACCATTTATTTTGAGGGTTTGGTGTTGGTGTACGTTTTATAATCAACAGCAAACATCAGTATCTCATCTCAGGCGTTTCGTCAAAACTTTCGCTCGGTAACTGTTTCGTGCGCTGCAATCCTGAGCATGAGTTTTTCCAACACGCGATTGTGTCAATGCCAAGCAGGTTGCCCGAGTGGTCTCAAACGAATCCTACGTGCGGCGAGTAATTGGTTTTCGCATTCCATCGACTCCTCCCATTGGCTGGGCGAATCGACGTTATCCAGCACTGGCTCGCTGCTGGTGACCCCCCCAATCTCCTCCCGCCACTCCTTGTTTCCCCTTCCACCTCGCTGCTCCCATCAGCCCTCCAGGATATCCCTTTCTCCTCCGACCTTTGGCAGTGCTGTCTGTGTCTGACCCTAGAATCCACATTCTCGGACTCTGACGCCATGGCCGCCGTTGCTACCCGTGCCCTCGCCTCCGCGCCGGTTGCCCTCGAGGCTACCCGCCAACGCCTTGTCGCCGGCAAGGCTCTGCGCTCCGCTGTCCCTGCCGTCACTGCTGTGCGCGGTCAGAGGCTCGTTGCTCGTGCAAGCCTTGAGAAGGTGAAAAGTTGTTCACATTAGCTCAGAGTTTACGAACCACAACGCCTGCTGTTCTTGTTCCTCCATAGATAACGAACGTATAGCTGACATTGTTACCCTCGCATTCCCCGCATGGTTTTTGCAGCCCACTCGCCAGACCTACTTCGCCTCCCCCCAGTCCCTGAGCTACCTCGATGGGACCCTCCCCGGCGACTTCGGCTTCGACCCCCTTGGCCTGTCCGACCCTGAGGGTGCTGGCAACTTTATCGACCCCAAGTGGCTCACCTATGGCGAGCTGATCAACGGCCGCTGGGCTATGCTCGGTGTTGCCGGCATGATCGCTCCCGAGATCCTCGGCAGCTACGGCATTGGCCCCAAGATTGTGTGGTTCCAGTCCGGCGTGATCCCTCCTCTTGGCGGCTACGAGTACTGGGCCGATCCCTATGCTCTGTTCGTCCTCGAGATCGTCCTCATCGGCTTCGCCGAGCACAGAAGAGCTCAGGACTACTACAGTAAGCTCCCGCTTCCCACGGTCCAACCGTCTTCTCTTGTACAATTTACCATGCACCCCCCCTGTCCCATTATACGGTATACCAGTACTCACACTCTTTTGCTTTTTTTGAATTGCAGAGCCCGGCTATGGCTCCAAGCAGTACCTGCTGGGTCTTGAGAAGGTGCTCGGCGGCTCCGGCGACCCCATCTACCCCGGTGGCCCGTTCTTCAACTTCGCTGGCCTGGGCAAGACCGAGGCTGAGATGCACACCTACAAGACCAAGGAGGTCAGGAACTCCCGCCTTGCCATGCTCGCTGCCCTCGGCTTCTTCTTCCAGGCGTGGATCACCGGCGTGGGCCCGTACCAGAACCTGCTCGACCACTTGGCCGACCCCGTGAACAACAACATCCTCACCAACCTCAAGCTGCACTAAGCTGTTTATTCTCAATATAAATGTAAAGATGTGAGATTTGTCAAATTACAAACTCAAAATTGTGCATTAATTACGTAGTACGGTCTGCGGGGCAACTGAATGATAACGAGCCCAAATTCCAGGACTTCAATTATAGTACTGGGAAGGAATGTCAAACATCTGATGTCATGGAATGCCACGAAACAAATAAATTTAACGTTCATTTACACAATTCAGCAAGCTCGTCATTCAAATGAATTACATTTTTCCGGTAGTACTAGCGTGTCTGTCGGCCCCCCTTTTACGGTCTCAAAATCCCGACCCACAAACTTGCTGATAATAATGGCGTCAATTGGCGCACTGTCAACCACGCCTGCGACACTCCGTCCAGTGCAGCTCGGTTCTAGAACGAGCAGGATTCCACTCCAAGCATGCAGAGGGCCAAGAATAGTCGCCAAAGCAAGCTCGAATAAGGTAAGGCTGCATGTAAGAACGACTAGGAGTTACGCTGCATCACAAACAGGGTGCCTAATGCCCGTCCTCACTAAGCGGCCGTGCAGGATGATCGGCCAACCTGGTTCGCTTCGTCTCAGTCGTTGACTTACCTTGACGGAAGGTCAGTCCCCTTTTGCCCGCATGGAATCGGCGTTGCTCCTTCTGTCTGTGCGTACTGTTAGACCGAGTGCATATCTTCCCTCACGTGCGTCTGACCCTACGAGCCGCCTCCATTGCGCCATCGCAGCCTGCCAGGCGACTACGGATTCGATCCGCTCGGCCTGTCGGACCCGGAGGGGGCGGGCGCGTTCGTGTCGCCGCGATGGCTGGCGTACGCGGAGGTGGTGCACGCGCGCTGGGCCATGCTGGGCGCACTGGGGATGATCGCGCCGGAGATGCTGGGCGATGTGGGCGTCATCCCCGCGCGCACGGGCGTCGAGTGGTTCCGCTCGGGCGTCATTCCGCCGATCGGCGCGTTCGACTACTGGGCTGACCCTTACACGCTCTTCGTGGCGCAGGCGGCGCTGCTGGCATTTGCGGAGCACCGACGCGCGCAGGATTACTACGGTGAGTCGCAGCCGCGCGGAGTAAACATGCTTGCAGCTCCGCAGTCAAGCATTGTGCTTTCGTGCCGTGCCAGTATAGACTCGTTTGATGCACCCTTGGCGTCCGCTGGGTATGATCATCCTCATGCGTAGCTCATGCCACGCCGTCCTCCTTCCATCTCGTGCCGCGCGCCCTGGCAGCGCCAGGCTACGGCGCGACGACCCCGTTCTTCGGCCTCGAGCGGCTGCTGGGCGGCTCCAAGCGCCCCGCGTATCCCGGCGGGCCGTTCTTCAACTTCGCGCGGCTCGGGCGCTCCAAGGCGGAGATGCGCGCGCTGCGCACGGCGGAGTTGAAGCACGGGCGCGTGGCGATGGCGGCGTGCGCGGGGTGCTTCGCGCAGGCGGTGGTGACGGGGAGCGGGCCGTGGCGCAACGTGGTGGAGCACGTGGCGGACCCCGCGGGGAACAACCTGCTGGCGCTCGTGGGGCTGCTGTGACGCGCGCACGCGCGCATGGCGAGCGCCCGCGCTGCATTGCGGTGCCTGCTGCGGCGAGAACGGCAGACGCGTGTTGGAGGTGCCTCCATCTGTACTCAATGCTCATCCATACGTTTCGAGCTGGATGGAGTTGGACAGTAGTGAAGGGGACAACCCCGAGCAGCCATGGCGTATTCACATAGGGACTGAAGGAACATGAGCTCTACAATGTGTTG